ACATGGGAGCTATTCACCTTGAAAAAATGTAAATATGCCGTTGAATATGTTCGTCATATATTTGAATATATTCAGCATAATAATTCAACTTAGATGTTTATTCCGTTGAATAATGTTCGGCATAAACATTCAACTTAGATGTTTATGCCGTTGGATATGTTCGGCATAAACATTCAACTTGAAATGCTCCGATTTTATATCTTTTATTTTAACATATACATACTTACAAACATCATGGCCACCATGCTTTTTCCCGCTCTCTCTGTCCGAGCAGTCCTGGACACTACATCCCTCCAAAACTTTTGTAAGTCAATCCTATACACTATTTATGTAACAAAACATCGACCTAACTAACTGTAAACTAACTATAACATCGAACCATTTAGTTTATGGTATTTATAATTTAGTTCTGTTTTTTCCTACCGCTTTACTCATGACTTGTATTGATGTTTCCTTGTTCTTACTCACCTATATCAGTAATCTTCTCCCATCTCGTACTCTTCGTGCCATCTTGGGGCTCTTCTCTGTCGTAGAAGTCGACCACCTTGCACATGTCCGCTTCCATCCTCATATTCCTCTTGCTGTATATCCACCTCTACATCCTGTCTCCTTACCCTGTCATCTTGTCGCTGTTCGACTGCCTCCTCTGCCTCATGATCACCAACCCAATTATCGACTGCTTCTTCTGCCTCACCGACCAAATTATCACCCTGTTCGTTTGCATGGATCTCTTCCTCCCCTCCCAACTGCTCTGGATGTATTATGTTGCTCTCGAATACATCACACTCATCACATGTTCCATTCATTTTAATACCACCGCTACCACATTCATTGCTAGGTACTTTGAGCAGTTTAAAGAATGACGAATTTCGAGTAATAACGTGTCTTGGATTAACTCTTGAGGCGGTAATCATTGTACCTTTTGTCGCTGTCACTGTATATGGTTTAGGAGCATATACTGGCTGCAACTTTCCTTTTCGTTCATTACGCACCAGGACCAGATCACCAACTTTAAGGTTAGACGATTTAACATAAGACTTTCGATCTGCATACTGCTTGGCTTGCAATTTCTTTTCCGCATCTCTTTCACGTACCTCGTTATCGGTGTCATGTGACGTTGACAGCTCGGACAACCGTACTCGATACGGTCGTGTTTGGAACAGTAGCTCAGTCGGACTTTTACCTGTTGTGGTGTGTGGCGTTGCTCTATAATTCCGAAGGAATTTAAGGAGTTCCTCTTTCCAACATTTCCGCTCAATCGAAGAAGTGCGCACTACCTTGTTTATCATTCTGTTAAAATTTTCAACCAATCCATTAGCTTGTGGGTGGAGGGAGGTAATGTTGTTATGTTGAATTCCCATAAATTCACAGTAATCGCTAAAGGTTTTCGAGTTAAATGGGGGGCCATTGTCACTTTTCAGCTGAATTGGAATACCATAGGACGAGAAAATGCGGTCCAGCTTTGGAATAGTTGCTTTAGCCGATGTTGATGTTGTAAATTCGATCTCAGGAAACCTTGAATATTCGTCTATAACGACCAACACATAATCTCCCGATGGTAGCGGTCCATAGTAGTCAACTGCTAAGCTTTTCCACGGACCATTTGGAAGCTGTGTAGATTTTACTGGTTCCTGTGATGGCGTATTCACAGTAGCTTGGCATGCAATACAGGGACCAACAACGGCTGATACTGCGTCGTCCATCTTGGGAAACCATACTCTAGACCTGAGGCCTAAGCAATTGTTTTGTCTTAACGAGGCCTTGATGACCTTCGTGTGCTATCTTGATAACCTTGTTTTGTAACGACTTCGGTATTATGATTCTGTTACCTCTCAAATCTCAATATGACCCCTTTTGCGATAGAGAGTTCTTCTGCTACATTTCTATATTGTCTAAATTTTGCACCATCAAATTTTGCACCATGTTGATTCTCGATAATCTTGTAAAGATCGCAGAGGACTGGATCGCGATGGGTCGCCGAACGAATTTCTTTGATCTTTAGAGATGGAGGAACGTCATTAGTAACAACCCAATTGACGTGCGCTTCTAGTTCTGCCGATTCTTTCAACTCTCGTTTTGAACATCGAGACAATGGTAGGGGTTGTCTTGAGGTGTAATCTGCAGGATTCAATTTACCAGGCTGGTATACAACCTTAAATGAAAAGCTTTAAACGCATGCGCTCGAATCGGAAAGGACCTGCTCGACGTGGACTGTTGTAAAGGCTGACCAAGGTTTATGATCTGTAATTACCTCGAACTCTCTACCTAGAAAGTAAATCTCTTTCTAAGGCATCCATACTGTATGGCCAGGGACTCTCGCTCAATGTGGCCATATCGTCTTTCTACATCGGTCAGAGATCGGCTTGAATACGTGACAACTCGGGGTTTCTGTGTCCTAGCGTCATACTGGACAAGCATAGCACTTAACTGGCGAGCCATCACATACCACCGTTGTTTTCAGGCTAGGATCATAATAGTTCAGCAATGCTGTCTTACGTAAGTTCTCCTTTATCGCTTCAAAATATTTCTGGTGTTTCGGGTCCACGACCAACGTACATTCTTCCGTGTCAAATCACGCAGCGGGGCAACTATAGTTGCATAGTTGTGTATGAACTGAGATGAATAATTGGCCATGCCCAGGAATGACCTTAACTCTGCCTGGTTACTTGGGGCTGAAAGATGTTGAAGGGCTTCCACCTTCTCAGGATCAGTGCTGATGCCTTGATCAGAGAAAACTAGTCCAAAAAACATAATGGAAGTTTTTCCAAATTCGCACGTACTTCGCTTTAGTGTCAAACCAGATTCACGGAGACGTTGAAAAGTAGCACTGAGAGCACGGTAGTGGTCATCTTCAGGTGGAAAATATCTGGAGCTGAATTTGTCCCAAAATTTAATCGACAATAGCGTCTCAGTCCCACATGAGTTGAGAATGTTGTAATGCCTTTGCTTTCTTCGTCTAACTCTAACTGATGGAAGCCATTAGTTAAGTCCAACTTAGAAAATATCTTAGCTCCATTGAGGTCATGTCTTAGCTATTCTACTGTTGGAATAACATGCCGGGTCCTCTTAATAGCCCGGTTAGGTTCAACCTTAACCACACACATTCTGATTTCGTTTGAGTCCTTCTTTGGAGCTATCACTATTGGTGAAATCCAATCAGTGGCAGAATCTACTGTCTCATTGATACCTGCCTCTTCAAGACGTGACAGTTCGGCTTCGACTTTATCTCCTAAATGGAATGGTACCCTTTTGTGCTTCTGGGCCACTGGCTTTACAGTCTCATCAATATGAAGTGTCACCTTCACTCCTTTCAATTTTCCAATACCCTGGAGAATGTCATTGTATGAAGCAACAAGTTTACCCAACATCCCTTTCAAAGGTGTTGCTGGCTTAGACTGTTTACTTTTGGCATGAACAGCCCGTGCTGATGCTTCAGTTGCCTTTGATGTAGTACCAACTTTAGATTTCACTTGGTTGACTATGTGTAATATACCGAGATTTACAGCTGATGTAGAACACTAGAACCTAACAGACATCCTGATGATCTTGATCCTTTTATCACATAGAAATCTGCTACATCATACCGCTTCTTTGTGGCTATTGCTGCTGTAAACTTGCCGAGCAGAGGAAGTGGTGACGAAGAGTTATATGGAAACAATTTGGCATTAGATTTCTTTAGAGTTACTTTTCCTTTTAATGTAACAAAAGTGTCCTCATCTATTATGTTTACATCGGTCCCTGAGTCAATCTGAAACTTTATTGGAACAGCGTTGATATTAACTTTAACTTTATTACACACCTTTTCATTTTTTTTCATAGCCGATACCCGGCATTCGTCTTCACTGTCACTGTCACTGTCACTTAAGTTGTCGATTTTTCTCACCCTTTTAGCTGCTTTGCACTTCCTTGCATAATGATTCTTCTTTCCACAATTCCGACATTCAAGTCCCCACGCCGGGCAAGACTTTCTACCATTTCTATGTGGCCACGGTCCACCATAGTTAAAGTATTCCTTGTTTTTGGGCGGGTTGTTTTGATCCTCTCTTTACACTCTTTCGTCTTTAGAGTGTTCTCGTTCTTTACTATCTTTGAATTGCTGTTCAGAATTGAAGGATTTTCCAATGCTTTTTTCTGAGCATCCGCTATTTCCATAGCTCTTGCTGTATTCACTAGATTTGCGAGTGAGAGATCTTCTCTCAATTTTTTTCTACGCAAGCGATCATACAAGCATTTCTGAACGATTTGATCCTTTATTTCGAGATCAATACGATGAAAGTCACACCTGTTGGCGGCAACATCTCGAAGACGGGTTACAAATTTGTCAATGGATTTGTCCTCTTCCTGAGATAGTTGGCGAAAATTATAGGTTTCAAATTCAAGTTTACCTTGGGTTCCAAATGTGCATCTAGTTTTCCTTTTACTTGCTGATAATCTTTATCGTCTTCAGAAGCAAGCGTATAATAAATATCTGATAGTTTCACACCACCGTAATATAGGAGCAAAGCTTTTGTCGAGCTTTGTCCTTAACTTAAGATCGAGGGCCACAAATAAATTCTCGAGTCGTTGAACCCATTTTTTCCAATTGAATTCCCAAAGATGTCGGCGCTGCATCCGTATTAAATGGTGGAAAGTCCGGTAAACTAGTTGCCATCTCTTTTATTATCCTCGTCGCCAATGAAATGTTCCGATTTTATATCTTTTATTTTAACATATACATACTTACAAACATCATGGCCGCCATGCTTTTTCCCGCTCTCTCTGCCCCAGCAGTCCTGGACACTACACAACTTAGAAGTTTATGACGTTGAATATCTTCGGCATGCATAAACATTCGACATAGATGTTTATGACGTTGAATATCTTCAGCATAAACATTCAACTTAAATGTTTATGATGTTGAATATCTTCGGCATAAACATTCAACTTAGATGTTTATGATGTTGAATATCTTCGGCACATAAACATTCAACTTAGATGTTTATGACGTTGAATATCTTCGGCATAAACATTCAACTTAGATGTTTGCGAAGTCGAATATCTTCGGCATATACATTCAACTTAGATGTTTATGACGTTGAATATCTTCGGCATAAACATTCAACTTAGATGTTTATGACGTTGAATATCTTCGGCATAAAAATTCAACTTAGATGTTTATGACGTTGAATATCTTCGGCATAAACATTAAACTTAGATGTTTATGACGTTGAATATCTTCGGCCTAAACATTCCACTTAGATGTTCATGACGTTGAATATCTTCGGCATAAACATTCCACTTAGATGTTTATGACGTTGAATATCTTCGGCATAAACATTCCAATTAGATGTTTATGACGTTGAATATCTTCGGCATAAACATTACACTTCAATGTTTATGACGTTGAATGTCTCGGCATAAACATTCCACTTAGATGTTTATGACGTTGAATATCTTCGGCATAAACATTCAACTTAGACGTTTATGACGTTGAATATCTTCGGCATAAACATTCCACTTAGATGTTTATGACGTTGAATATCTTCGGCATAAACGTTCCAGTTAGATGTTTATGACGTTGAATATCTTCGGCATAAACATTCCACTTAGATGTTTATGACGTTGAATATTTTCGGCATAAACATTCCAGTTAGATGTTTATGACGTTGAATATCTTCGGCATAAACATTCCACTTAGATGTTTATGACGTTGCATGTCTCGGCATAAACATTCAACTTAGACGTTTATGACGTTGAATATCTTCGGCATAAACATTCAACTTAGATGTGTATGACGTTGAATATCTTCGGCATAAACATTTCAACTTAGATGGTTATGACGTTGAATATCTTCGGTATTAACACTCCAGTTAGATGTTTATGACCTCGAATATCTTCGGCATAAACATTCAACCTAGATGTGTATGTAATTTTTATACATTGCGATTTTCTCGTGAAGATTAAAGTAATTGTTTTCACTGTTTTAATATTAATAATAATACGAATTATTTATATAGCGCCAATTCCCTAAAGTCCATTAGCGCTTTATAAGATATGTAACCTAACTAAGAACTAAGAGGAGATCTTACAAAGTAACTAATTAAAAACTATGCTAAAAAGATGTGTCTTAAGAAGTTTCTTAAAAATTTCAATATTATGACAATTCCGTATTCTGTCTGGTAATGCATTCCACAATGTTGGAGCTGAAACAGAAAACGCTCTAAAACCATGCATATGTACGTAGATTAGAATTAGTTGTATCAAGTTTTTTGAGGATGATCTTAACGTTCTTTTTGGTTTATATGGTTTAACTAATTCTTTTAAATACAATGGTGCCATGTCATGCAAACACTTGAAAGTTAAGAGAATAATTTTAAAATTGATTCGTTGTTCCACAGGCAACCAATGCAATTCCCTCAAAATTGGTGAGATATGATCATATCGTTTAGATAAGTTTACCAATCTAGCCGCTGAATTTTGCACACTTTGAAGTATATATTCAGGTGAGTTTTTCCTTTATAACGCTAATAGTATATTTGATCAACATTTCTTGCGGTCACGTTGGTAGTGGTAGCCTATTATTAATTTTACTGGTATATATCCAGCGCTGACCTGAATTCTATAGTTTACGATGGCTGTTTCGTCCACGGGCACTGATATACCTAAAGTACTGATTTTGGGCCATTCATTTGTGCGTAGACTTCGCAGTGATCTACATGCACGTTTCGACGAGCGGGCAGCCAAAAATTTTGACCTGCATGGAACGCCCGAAATATTTATGCATGGCGTGGGAGGTCGAACAGTCCCAAAATTAAGAAAGATGGATATGGGGGTAATCACTAGAATATCCCCTGATATAGTCATTCTCGATATGGGAACGAATGACTTGGCTCTTGCCCCACCTGAGGTAGGGGGTTCTGACATCGAAGAACTTGTTCGCTCGTTGGTCGCGGAGTACTCCGTGCGCGCCGTGGTTTTGTGCCAAGTCACTCCACGTGCGACAAACAAGGGCTCTAATTTTAATGAGAGAGCCAAGCTTTTGAATCAGTGCACCCGGGTAGTGATCGAGCCCATAGAACAAGCCATTTGTTGGACGCATAGAGGTTTCTCCAACCCATCCGTAAACCCCTTTTTATCAGACGGGGTACATTTTAACCCCATGGGTCAATATACCTTGTACAGGAGTTACCGCGGAGCGATAAAACATGCCGTAGGAGCAATACGGCAAGATGATAATTGATATGGTTATGTCAAATCTGTTATTTAAGTTAGTATTGAGTATTTTGTGCGAACTGTGTATTTTCCCTTGGAGCGAACAGTTTGTTCCAACGGTTGTTAGATTTGTATAATATGTGTCCTATACCCTCCGCTATTCTACTGTATGTCCTCTGATTGAGGACCTGTCTTATATCCTCTGATTGAGGATTTGTATTATATCCTCTTGTTGGAAGAGTCGTCTGATATCCTCTGATGGGGGATTTGTCTTATTTCCTCTGTTTGAGGAGTTGTCTTATATCCTCTGATAGAGGATTTGTCTTGTATCCTCAGCTTGAGGATTCGTCTTATACCCTCTAGTTTGAGGAGTTGTCTTATATCCTCTGATAGAGGTTTTGTCTTGTATCCTCAGTTAAGGATTCGTCTTATACCCTCTTGTTTGAGGAGTTGTCTTATATCCTCAGATTGAGGATTTGTCTTAGCTTTTGGCTACACACGGCTGGTGGTGCGGCGACTCAACCTGTCAGCCAGGCCAGCCGCTGTGAAAATTATTATCCATTCTCATATTTTCCTAGACAATGAGAAACTATTTTTTAGCAGACGTGTAGTACCGTTTTGGCGCTTGCCCTCCTTTAAATTTATGCTACTCTCTTTAAGCTTTCTCGTTTAGAATGCCACCTAAAAAGTTGCAAGCGAGGAAGCGAGCCCTTCGAACGACAGACGAAGGCCCATCAGCGCAATGCTGCCGTCGTCAATCGACTAGGAACTCGACGTTGGCGTCCCGTTCGACTGTAGTTGTGGCAGCCGAAGATGATTCCAGTGGTATACCGCCGTCCAATGTGCCTCCTACCACGGTTCAGCAACTCGATCCCGAACTGGTCCAATCAATAGTGTCTACCGTTGCAGCGGAGGTCACCCGACAACTGGCAGCGACTTTACCAGCCCTTACTTCGCCAACTGACGAGTTTCCAGAGACTCGAAGCGTTTCAGCTACGCCAGAACCAGCAGAGGAGCGTTGTTTGTCTGCGCCACCATTGCCTGCAAGTTCAGCCACGACTCTGGTGGAGGGAGCGATAGCTGCGGCTCACTTTAGGATAGCAGGTGCGCCTCAGTTATTGCCTACTAATGTAATTCCTCCTAGCGTTAGTACTCCTAGCTACATTTTTCTTTCGGCGAGTTTGCCGATTGACTCTCAGATATCCTCAAAAATTAAAGAAAAAATTTGGAATGAGGAGTTCGTTAATTTTGGATCGTTGTTGAGCAATCCGGGGCAGGAAAAATACCAGATTTCGGTCCAAAATTCCGACGCCGGAGCCCCGGCTTCATTTTGTCTCGAACCAATGTCGCGAACGAAAAAAATCACGTCCAT